CCAGCCCTCCCAGCTGCCCAGCTCCACGTCCCGCGCCGAGGTGTTCCCGCCTTTCAGAGCAGGAGATGCTCTGCGGGGCACGGTCGGCACATTCCTGGTGGAAAAGGGGCTCTTGTGGGGCCAGCACTGGGATAACCCACCCAGTCCTTTCAGCTGGAAAGTCCTCCTGCACCCGTTGCCAGCCTCCTGTTGGGATGCAGTGAGAATCATTACCTGCTGAAAACCACCTGGAAGAGGGAGTCGTGCCCCCCTCGCCCAGACACAGGGAATGGCTCCATCCTCGCCACCCACCTACTTCTCTGGCAGGGACAAGGGGAATTAGATGGGGTTTTGGGGGACATCCCTACAGGTACCCGGGTGGCCAGAGGGGGAGTCTGCTGGTGGCAGCCCAGCACAGCCCAGCCACTCTGCCCTCTTGCCCGTCCCGCAGCATCGCGAACCCACAGGCTTCAGACGCCGTCCTCAGCGCTGTGAAGGCCACGCTGAAGTCGTACCCCTTTGATTTCCGGGGGGCAAAGATCCTGTCAGGGAAAGACGAAGGCGTCTTCGGCTGGGTCACTGCTAACTACCTCCTGGAGAACTTCATCAAGGTGGGCAGCGGGGCCGGCTGTGGTGGTCAGGCTGCCTCATGGCTCGTCACATCCTGATGCCCGCTCTCGTCTTCCTTGCTCAGCGTGGGTGGCTCGGGGAATGGATCCAGCCCCAGAAGAAGACCCTGGGAGCCATGGACTTTGGGGGCGCTTCCACACAGATCACCTTTGAAACCAGGGACACCATCAAGGACCCCCAAAACGAGGTGATGCTGAAGCTGTATGGGCAGGAGTACAAAGTGTACACCCACAGCTTCCTCTGCTACGGAAGGGACCAGGTCCTCAAGAGGCTGCTCTCGAAGGTCCTCCAGGTACCAGCATGGGCTCGGTGGCGATGCCAGCTCCCACCCCGCAGTTTCCTCCTCACCCCAGTGTTCAAACAGAGATCACAGAATCACAGGATGTTAAGGGTTGGAAGGGACCTCGGAGATCATCAAGTCTAACCCCTCTGCCAGAGGTTGTACCCGATGACCTGCAGACGCGGGGATGCCCCGGCCCTGGCTCTTGGAGGGCCCCATGGGGACAGCTCCTGGGTTTTGCACTTGACACCCTCCTATGGTCCCAGGGCTTCTTCCCACCCTCTCTATAAGATGTTGCACCCCTCAGCCAGAGCCAAGACATCCCAAGTCATCTCAAAATGCTTGTTGGACCTGCCAGCTCTCCATCCCGCTGCCCAAGCTCCTCTGCACGTCCCCAGCAGGGAAACTGAGGCAGGCAGGCAGCAGTGCCAGGGCTACGGCACAGCTCATGTCCCTTGCGTTGCTTCCCTGGCAGGCTGAGAGCTACAAAGCCACCATCTCTCATCCCTGCTGGCCCACGGGCTACCACAAGTCTCTATTGCTGAGCAGCGTCTACGACAGCCCCTGCACGGAGAAGGAGAGGCCAAGCCTTGCCCTCAACACCACCGTCACCGTGGTCGGCCCCGGGAACGGGAGCCTCTGCACTCTGCATGTCGGCAAGCTCTTCAACTTCACCGCCTGCCCCTTCTCCCACTGCTCCTTTGATGGCGTTTTCCAGCCAGAGGTTTCAGGAAAATTCATCGTAAGTCCTGGCACGGAGGGGGTGGCCTGGCTGCCGGGTGGGCAGGTGTCCCCAGCCCCTCAGCATCATGCGAGGGCAAAACCAGACCCCCAGCTCCACAAGGGCAGTGGCACCCCCCACACCAGTCAGAGCAGCTGGTCGCAAGTTCGCTCCCAGCCCATTCCACGGCTGCCTCCTTTCCTCCATCAGGCCTTCTCTGCCTTCTTCTACACGGTGGACTTCATCCAGACAGTGATGGGGAGATCCGTGCGCTTGCCCAGAGACCTGAAGGATGCTGCTGAGACCATCTGTGCCACCAGCTGGAGCGAGGTGAGGTCCCTGGGCACAGGGAGGAGGAGAGGGCTGCTTCGTGTGGGCATCACCCAGGGCTCTGAGAGCAGCCCTTGGCGGGGATTGGGTGTCCTGGCACCCATGGAGTAGGAGGAAGGTGGGTGACAGCTCCCACATGGGACTGGGAGAAGTGCAGGCGGGTATGGGCAGCACCTTGGTCAGGTGCAGCCACACAGAGCTTCTGGCCACAAGAACAAAGGCTGGACCTGCTGCCTTGACCCCTTTTCTCTCTCCCTCCATGCATCCCAACCAGCTGCTCCAGAAAGCCCCCAAGCTGGAGAAGAGGCTGCCGGATTACTGCCCTGTCAGCATCTTTGTTTATTTGCTCACCACCAAAGGCTACAACTTCAACAACCATTCCTTCCCCAACATCGCCTTCCAGAAGAAGGTGAGTAACCCCAGAGCACGGCCCATCCCCTGGTACCTGCTGGGAGTCAGGCCAAAAAGCCTCTCAGGAGAGATGGAGAGGCGGTCCCACACCCGGCAAAAGAGCCAAGTGGTGTGAGGGAAGGTCTTGGGGAAGAGGGGCGGGATGGGACTCCCAGGTGTTGAGCAGATCTTCTGGGAGATGGAAAAAGATGAGCTGAGCTGACTGTAAGGCGGTGATGGAGTCGGTTAAAGAGGTCTTTGCTCTGGTTTCTTGGGAGGTCATCTCAGGGCAGGATCCCACCTTTGGCAAGTCCCCTCACCTGCAGAAGCCATGGGATGGGCAGCGAGATCAGGACTGGCCTGAGCAGACAAGATCCTGCTCCCTTTGGCTGCTCAGCGTGGGATAGTCATTGCTTTGTCCCCGGGCTGGCGGGGTCCATGGGCAAGCGAGGGCTTGGGGTGCTCTGGACTGGCCCAACCTCCTCTCCCGCCTGGGGCTGACCCTGAGGTGGTCCCTGGAAGGTCTCTCGAGGGCCATGAAGCTGGGTTGACCAGGGTGGTGACCACGCCGCGCTGTTTCCCCAGGCAGGAGACACCTCCATCGGCTGGGCCCTGGGCTACATGCTGAACCTCACCAACATGATCCCGGCAGAGGAGCCCTCTTCCCACAAAAGCATGCTCTACAACTACTGGGTCCTCCTCATCCTGCTCTTTGTGGTCACCACCCTGACGTCTCTGGTGACAGCCGTCTGCCTGCTCCGGCGCAGCAAGTCCCTCGCGATCTGACGGCAGGGACAGGGTGGGCC